AATTATTTTCTTAATTTCCCTTGTTGATATTTTTTATTAGTCTATAAAAATGCAACTGATTTGTGAATATTAATTTTGTATCTTGCTATTTGACTGAATTCATTTATTAGTTCTAATAATTTCTTTTTTGGTGGATTCTTTAGGGTTATCTATAGCATGGGTGGGGAATGTCCTAGAAATCATTTGGTCTGGTCCTGCCAAGGCATTAGGGGTGAGTTAATTAAATGTTTGACCAAATATAGCAGGCTAATTTTTAAGTTAATTTTGTATAGCCCTCAAATGATATTATAAATATCCAAATGGCCCTTGGCAGAAAAAAGGTTCCTTGCCTCTGATATATAGTATCCCAGCAATTCCATTTTGGGATATACACCCAAAGCAATTGAATTCTAAATCTCGAAAAGATCTGATCTACATTCCCATGTTTATTGTAGCATTATTCACAATACCCAAGACATGGAAACAACCTAAATGTTTATCAATTTACAAATAGATAAAAGAAAATGTGGAAACAGGTGGAATAAAAGTAGGTTTACAGTTATAAATACGAGAAAGTTTATTCTTGTACTATTATTTATTAATTATTGTATTTTTTATACAAACAACTGTAGACCTACTTTTGCCCCACCCTGTATACAGACAATGTAACATTATTCAGTCTTAAAAAAGAAGGAAATCCTGACATATGAGACAACATAGACCTTGGCAGTATTATGCTAAGTGAAATGAGCCAGACACACAAAAAATAATGCATGCTCTCATGTATATGTGAAATCTAAATTACAGTAGTCCCCTCCTTACCCATGGTTTTGCTTTCCAAGGTTTCAGTTACCTGCTGTCAACTGTGGTCTGAAATATTAAATGAAAAATTCCAGAAATGAACAATTCATAAGTTTTAAATTGTGCAGTGTTCTGAGTAGCTGATGACATCTCACCCTGTCCTGCGTGGAGCTATAAATCATCTCTCCACCGTGCACACTCTCTTGCCTGTTAGTCACTTAGTAGTAATCCCAGTTATCAAGTCCATTGTCATGGTATCATAGTACTTGTGTTCAAGTCACCCTCATTTTACTTAATAATGTCCTCAAAGCCATTCACATAACTTTTATTACAGCATATTGTTAAAATTTTTCTAGTTCATTACTAGTTACTGTTATAATTATTCTATTTTATTATTCTTACTGTGCCTAATTAATAAATTAAACATTATCAGATGTATGTATTGGGGGGGGAAAGCATACATAGCGTTTGGTACTTACCACGGTTTTAGGTATCCACAGGGGGTCTTGGAATGTACCCCCATGGATAAAGGGGAACTACTGTGGTCAAACTCACAGAGGCAGAGTAGAATGGCGGTTGCCAAGGGCTGGGGGAGAGGGAAATGGGAGGTGTTGCTTAAAATACACAAAGTTTTAGTAAATAAATTCTGGAGATCAATTGTTTTAAAAATTAAAAAAAACCCCACCAGGTCACAGAGCCACCCCATAGACTGAGGCAGCGTTCAGCAAGGGAGTAGGTCTGCGCATTGGTTTTGAATCTCTGCGTGAGAACAGTTTTTATTTTCACTTATTTGTAGGAACATGGGCTCTAAAATGAGACAAAATTTACTGTTCATGTGTTATTTACTGGCTGTGAGCGTTATTTCCTCTCTCTTGGTCTGTCTCTCTTGTTAACATCTCTTTACTGTGAAAAGTGAATAAGGTAAAAAGTTCTCAGCACAATGCCTAGCTCCTGTCACACAAGAAATGTTCATTAAAAAAATTACATAAATTAGCTGAGATCTGAGTACCTTCAAGCCCGCTGAAACTGGACTAGCGAATCACGGGTAGGGCGACATAGCTGGACTTGGTAACGCCCACAGGGGACGTACAGAAACACGGGACCTTAGATGTCAGGAAGGGACATAAAGATATAAGACATTTTCAGACTTGTTAGTAAAACCTTAGAAAAAGCTAGCTTCTTTAAAAAATGATTTTAATTATCTCGTGTATCCTCAAAACCGGCATCCTCTGGCTAGGAATCGTCGTTGCATAGTTTCCTTTGTGTGATACATGAGTGTTCCCGACATGTGAGCCACGTTCTACCCCAGCCCCGTAAGTGAGACTACCCTGGGCTGCAGCTGCGGAATGCAATGCGTAGAAGTTGCTAGGGTGGCCAGGCAGTCCTTCGCTCGCTTCTTATAGCTGTGCCTCAGGAAATGCCACGGTGGCTCAGCGGCCTGCATTCCACCCCATGCGCACCATTTCCTCAGAGAACCATTGTGATGTGATCTTTGTCTTTACTTCGCTGATTTCGGTTTGCAATAGGAGTATTTAGAAGGCTACTTGGCCAATATTTAGATACAATTTCACTTAGGCTCCATGGTCCTAACGGCAGCAATCCTTTAGCCAGGCGTCACTGAAACAAAGCCTACCTCACACTTGACTGTGTAATGGTTTGACATTAATGGTTCAGAACAAACAGTGAGCATCTACCATGTGTCAGGTACTATTAAAGCTGCTGATAAATTTTCTCAATCAGTGATTATATTTCAATGAAAAGCCCTGGGGAAAAAAATCCTAATGCTGAGGATGATCTCTGGCTGGCATTTGGGGCAGAGTTGACCTGAAACTGAGTAACTTGGCACGAGGTGCACCCACTGCAGTGGAGAATCCATACTCACAGCACTGGCGCCAGCGCAGGGCAGTGGGTGGAGAGAGAAGCCTTTGGCCTCCCTGAGGGCTCTCTCCTGCTGCCAGGCTGGCAGGCAGAAGCCAGAGGGACACCATTAAGTGGCTGCAGCAATCCAAGTGCCTGCTGTTGGGGGGAAACCCCAAAAGTCTGAGGTCAGGATTGATTCCAAAGAACTGACATGTGGCCTTATTCAAACTCATAAGAGTTTTAATAGGAGAAACTTACATACATGGGCAAAGGGCAAAGCAGCTGCACCCAGTGATGGCGGGCAGGAAGAACCCACACCTCTCCCAGTACAGGGTCCCTTTTTAAAGGGGGTAATAGGGATTAATGTCAAAACCAGACGGCAGGTAGTTGTACTGACCTCCTGAGAGAACAATGTATCACTATGTTAAAGGAAAAGTTAAAAGATACTATCAGGCAGTTATTATACTCTATCCAGTGGTTCTCAACCTTCCTAATGCCGCGATCCTTTAATAGAGTTCCTCATGTTGTGGTGACACCCAATTTCATTGTTACAAATTGAACATAATTAAAGCATAGTGATTAATCACAAAAACAATATGTAATTATATGTTTTCCAATGGTCTTAGGCGACCCCTGTGGAAGGGTCGCGACCCACAGGTTGAGAACCGCTGCGAGGGCACGTTTGCCCTTTTGGGTGGCATTCCGTCTTTGGGGGTAATTAGCCAAGAGTGAGGATAGAGAGTTAAAGTCCCAAAGAAGTTAATCTCCCAGGAGCCTTGGCTGCTGGAGCCATAATGCATCTTTAAAGTGAGCTCCCCTGCACCTGCAATGTGGCAAGCCTGAGAGGAGACTCATGACGCTTCTCCCCAAATTCCTGATGTTCCCTCACCCTCCTCTGGAATTCAAGGAGTAGACTTGGGCAGGGCCTAAATGTCAGGAATTCAGCCGTGCGTGGGGGCTGTAACTCTGGACTATGGAAATACTGTCCACAGCCAGGTGAGAGGACATCCCATAGAGAAAAAGCCCTAATAAAAGTGAGGGGTTATTCTCACCAGTGTTCAATCCTTGGACCCACTGTTACATCTTACCCTGACTTCTTTTGCCCTGAACGTAACTTTGAATATCATTTTGAGATTTTCTTGGGCATCTAGAGCTCAGGACTTGGCCTGGGTCTTACCATCTCCATGTTAAAGGATTCCATTTACTTTCTAGGAAGCTAGCCTTGCTGATGTCCTATTTACAGGCTTTTTGACCATTGGTTTCTCCCTTATGGTCTGTACACTGGTCCTCAAACTTGGGTGTACATCAGAATCACCTGGAGGGCTTGTTACAGCAGACTGCTGGACCCAGCCCCATAGTTTGGGTAGGACTGGGCTGGGGATTTTGATCAAGTTCTCAGTTTATGGTGAGATTATTAGTCCAGGGACCATCTTTTGAGAATCACTGGCAATGCAGGAGGAAAGAAACAAAATCTTGTAACCGTCTAATACATTGTGCCGTGTGAAAGTCCTGCGATGGCTGCTCTCTAAATCACCAATTTCGCAGTAACTCAGCCTTAACTCTTTCTTTCCTATAGATGTGCTTTCCATTAGCAGATACTGGTCTTCTCTTCAATTATATAAGGGGGCTCTGTCCCCTTTAACACATATTTAGCCAGACTTAAATACTTTTAAAGATCTCAATTCTTAAAACAAGAACTTCAGTGCTTATAACCTTTTCTGTGGACACTCCCACCTACTACCACACATACTACCTGTGTGTACTCTTCTGTCAACCACATGAAAGTTCTGAAAGACAGCTTTTGCTGTATTTTAGCATCTGTACATATTTTTGGACCATTTCAAAGTAAACTACACAATAATCTTGGAGTATCAACAAGATTACAATAGAATCACAAATTTTACCTACAATCATGTTCAGTTTTGAGGTTTAAAGTTAAATCAGAACATTTATACTGAAAAACATACCCTATAAAAGTGCTCAGGGTCAAGTGAGTTTTGGAAAAAATGGTGACCCTTCAAGGACGGTGCAACTTACATGAGCACGTGAAAGATCGATCAACTTTAACACTTATTTAGACCCTGGTGACCCAGGTTGTACTGGTTGCCTTGTCCCTTGTAATGGACCCAACATTTATAGCAAAGCCATTTCTATCAAGAGACTGACACAAAAGCAAAACTTCCCAATGAGCAGCCAGAATTAAATCGTTCCTATGTCTTTTCTTTCCACTGGAAGTGTGATTCAGGGAGAAAATTTAGATTAATTACATGTTTAAGTTGATCAAAGTACTGGTTCAGTTGTGGAGAAGACTGGAAAAGGGAGGCGATAGTAACTGAGGGAGAAAAATGGCTTCCAACATGTTAGCTGTAGCACAATTCAAGTTTATTCCATTTGTTCTTGCAACACAAAACTTAAACACAGTATTAGTTAGCATTCTGATGTACATGAACTAGGATAATATGAGAAACCCAATTGTGTCAAAAGTATTACATTGTGGAAAAAATGAACTCAAATATATCAAAATGCACAAAGCATTAGTCTTCCTCTGTTACTGCTTAGAAAGATATGATTGTTTCTCCATTTACAAAATAGAATCAGGACAATTTAAATTCTTTAAATTTTGCATGCAAAACACTGCAACTGCTTATGTAGGAGGGCACTCTCACCAGCTTCTATACACAATTGAGTATGCAATATTTCATGGAAGAAAACAGCAGCTTAATTGAAGTGTTAGGGGAAAAAAATTAAATACGTACATACTGATTTAAACTCCATTATTTGGGAAAAAGAATCAATGAATAAATGGGCTACTTGCTTGCAGCTTCCACACACTGAACCACCTACCTCCCCTTCATGCCCCAGTGGGTTTAGAAGGTGAGCTATGCATAGAAGAACTACTTGGTTTACTCAGGTGCTGTATTTGAACTGTAAGTCTAGAGATATCAGTCTGAAGCTGCAAGGGAGAATTTGTTAGTATACTAACAGCATAGTAAACACTCGGGTGTTTTAATACACCTGTTTTTAATTGCTATAGTGCATACGAAATGACTGACTTAATACAAAACTACAGAACATGCAAGGTTTTTGCTGAGATGTTAAATATTACTTCAGTGGAGAAATAAAACACGTTCTTAACCTTTCACTAATGCATGTAGTACCAAAAAAGCAGACATGGTTTTAACTTCCTTTACTCAAATATGAACATTAAGTGTTGTGAATTTTTCTGCCAAGTGGTTCAGAAATACATTATAAATAACCTAGTTAAAAAAAAAAAAGAAATTGTAAACCATCTTGGCCAGTCTAGTCTATGTTTACATGTTATTTTCTCAAGCAACTGCTTCATAATTATGGGGTTTACAAAAAGACTGGGAAAGAAGGCGCAGTAGCCTCCACTGCATCACAGGGAACACAGGGCAAACTGTACAAAAAGTCACCTGGCTTCTACACCGGTGACTGTGGGAAGCAGACCAGGTTCAGGAATGATAGGACAGTGCACTCTCTGCAATAGCCAACTAGAACAAAACGCTGAGGATGTAAAGGTAAAACTGTGTAGAGGGTAATCCAAGCCTTTTAGATCACATCATGCCAAGAGGTGAAAACAAAGATTTCAAAACACCTTGTTGATGGTTAAAGACTGATAGAGTGCCCTCCATCTCCAATGAGGATGGCTCCAGGTTTCAGTTAAGTGTGGTCATAAAGTACTGATTACTGACTTTTACTGACTCTAACAGGCTGCATTAAGGCAGCAGAATTAGCCAAATGTACAGGGTTAGGCTAGTTTTAAGTGAAAAAAACCACAGGATAAAAAAGGGTTCATGGGGAAAAGTACACACACACACACACACACACTCACTCACTCACTCACTCACTCACTCCACACACTAACCAACCAATCAGCAACTGATCAATAAGACTTATTAGCCAGGCTGACGGTTCTTTGATAGTTTAACTTTGCTGTCGAATGCTACATTGCCTTAAAAAACCATCCATAATTCTTTATTATCCACAATCTGAATACTAGTCCCTAACCCCCCGTTTTTAAAAATTTGAGGTACATTTAGTTATTGCATGACATGGCTAAGGAAAAATCCTAATATTTTTAGAAAGCTTAAATGGGTGGCAGGTCAAAGGAATCTTAGTATTTTAAATGCACAACAGCAAAATTTAAGAGTATATGCTCTAATTAGTCATACTGCTCAAGAAATAAACATTTGAAAATGTGTCTAAACATTTTCTGCAGGTCATAATTATTTTAGGGCTGTATTTAAGGGCACAGAGTACATCTTGAAAGTGTCACACTTTACATGATGCATGATATAGAAAAGAATAAAAAATATGCTGTGCAGGTGGGCTGGCCTATGTTCAGCAGAAGTTTATCAATAGCTGGGGAGCCGGTAACAAGCATATTTTTGAAGAGATGGGGGTTAAATTTGTCCAAATAGTAAATCTCACCCCAGTGACAGCTTTGGTGCAATAAGTAATCAGCATTCAAGATGGGTCAAAGAGACATTCCAACAATGTTCCTTGTTCTCCACACATAACCGGGGCCAATCCATTCAAATAGCAAATGAAGAAAACTATAGGTACGAAGACAACCGTTCTCTCTTTGTATGATACTAACAGGCTTATGGCTATGATTCTAGTTTTACATCCCCTTTTACTACCAGTGAAGTTTAAAAGTGTTTCAATGTTATAGAAGTATTTGAATCTAGAGGAGAAAAATTTATGCATACTGGAATGGTTTCTCCTATAGACTTCCAAAATTTAAGATTTTATAAATAAAACTAGTCAGTTTTACCTAAAGATACATGAAATCCATGTGAAAGGGGAGGAAATCCAAAGTTTAGGCATCTAGCAATTTAGGTGTGCCCCACCTCACCCTCACTGAGCTTTCGCATAAAGGCGGAAAGTCACTGAGGGAAGATTTGGTCACCAACCACAGGCAGCGATCTTCACTACACCAGGAGATTCCCCAGAGTGCACCTTAAGGCAGAAGGCTAGAGCTAATTGCTTATCTCAGCACCCTAAGTTACATCACAGCAGCCACCACTGCTCACACAGTTAGGGCTACCGATTATGTAGAGTTGGCCTTTGTATAATAAGACCCTCGACACAATCTAATTAATGAATTAGCTAGGGAGCTGAGAAGGTCAAATGTATGTGTCTTTGCTCTCCCTTGGGTATAATCTGTGTATTTTTGGAAACGGAAAAGAGGCCGACTTGATCAGAAGGCTTTGTAAAAGCCTGATTGTAGTTTTTGCCTCTCCTCCAAAACATTGGTTTTTGTTTTCTGGTAGTCTGATTTGTTATGAATTTCTCTCTCCCCTCACCCCTCCTAAAGTATTTAGCTGAAGAAGCTGGCAGATAGAGAGTGACAGACAGACAGGCAGCAGTGTGAGGCCACAGGAGAGTCATTCTTCCAGAGCTGTCAGCCCATCCATCCATCACTGAAGTAGGGCTTTGATTGCCTGGTTGTCAGTGGCTTCAAAAGCAGTTAGTCCATCTGGGCCTTTCACAGTCTTATCAGCACCCTGGAAAAGAATGGGAAAAGCTGTTATCATTAAATGAGCCTACAACTGAGAGAAGAGAACGAGACTAGATTACTCGGCATCTGCTAGTGTTTATACCTAGAATTAAAAAATTCTCTTACTTAAACAGAGTTCATCCTATTGAAGAAAAAACCCTAAACACTTGGCAAAGTTATAAAAATGTCATATTATTTTTCAGGCACTAGAAATTGTAAACTACACACACAACTTGCCAATAACATCGGAACAACTGGCTTTTATTTATACTAGCATGTATTTGCCCAATTAATTAACCTTTAAAAATTAATACCCCTAGGTGTAGTGTAAAATCTCTTTTGCTAAAAAAGAAAGTATCATGGTGACGAAATTATCTTTCCCCTCTTTGCAACTTTTTGGATAGTAGACCTAAGTGTTACACACATTATTTCTAAAAATCTGGGGCTTATAAAACTTTTAGACAGAGTCCTAAAGAACACGTGTAATACTGATCATTATTATTATAAACACTTAGCAGTGAGTGGCTGGGACATGGCTAGGAAAGGGGCTCTGTGACACACTCTGGGGATGAAATGCTCTCCAGCCTGCCTCAGTGCTTCTGGAGGCTGCTGTTCTGGACCATTTCGTTGCAACACGGTATTTTAGGTTTGAGAATGTGGACCTATACCTTTGTGTCCACCCACTGTTTTAAATCTGTCTTCTTTACTAGGATAAAAGTTCCATGGGAGCAGGAACCGTGTCCCCAGTGCCTAGGAAAGTGCCTAGTGCATGGTAGGTGAATTTGCTCTCTGAGCCTCTTTAACTACCAGAGACAGCATTATTACCCCGTTGAGGGTTCTTTTTGCTAGCTCCACCCAACCAGGATTCAGTCACCAATTAGTCTCTAGCATCCTTGCCAAATCTCATTATTTGTTCCTTAGGCCTAGCCTTGGCATAGATGGTCCTTTAAAGACCAACTCTAGTCTAACTCAGCAGTCTCTTCTCCCATTAATCTTTCTATGCTTCAATCCTATGGAATTTCTCACCATTTCTGAACATACCATGTGCCACACCTTTATACATGCTAGTTCCCAAATGGAATGTCTTACCCCCTTTCCCTGGCAAATCTATTCAATCACTCAACAAATATTTACTGAATGTTTGATGTGTAGACATTGTAAGGGACTGGAGAATCAAAGAAAAATAGGACAATCTGCCAGCCTGGCTGGTGTGGGAGACAGACAAATCAACCAGTATGAATCAGTGGGATGAGAACAATAATGGCGTTATACACCATGATGAATGGCCTGTAACGCAGAATGGGATGTGATAGAGGGTGTGACAAAGAAAGTCTTTCTGGATGAGGCAATGCCTGCCCTGAGTCTTGATGAGTAAGTACAAAATGATTAGGTAAATCAGGAAGGAGATGACGACAGATTCTAGGAAGTGTGAAATTATTACAAAGTCCTCTTCAATATGATCTTAAAAGTCTCCATTTCCTCATTTTCTAACTTAATTTATAACTGCTTTATGGAACACATGGAACTCATTGCTAAGTGGGAGAAACCTGTAAGAACTTCAATGTGGTAAATCCTCCAATATAGGTTAAATGACAATAATTGCGATCACTATATTCAAAACAAATTCATTTTGATAGTTTTTATAATTAGCACTGTACTATAATTCTGCATTAACACAAAGCTAAATATTACAGTGAACATATGTTGCTTTTTCAGCTTCCAGAGTTCATTTCCCTTCTTTAGGTAACTGCATCCTAATTTCATTTTGAGGAATCATTTGTCCCATTGTGTGGACTCCTGGGAACATCTACACTAATAAAAGAGAAACATGGTAATTGGCGTACGACTGCTACCCTTTTCATCGGCTAATCAGCGAGATATGCAAATTAACTGCCAACAAAGATGGCAGCTAATTTGCATATTGTAGGCAGGATGGTACAGCGCCATCCGACAGCGGGTGGGGGGTGTGAGGGCCAGCAGTCGCCCCAGACCCGATCCCGCCGGCAGACCCAGACGTGGGCCAGCAGACCGGGACATGGGCCGGTGGGGCAGCTGCGGCGTCCGCCCACACTCACACCCTCAACCTGCGAGAGCGGTTTGGGGGCATGAGTGCTGGCGGTCGCCCGGGACCCTATCCCGCCGGCCCGCCTCCTCTAATTAATTCCCGTTCAATGTGCACGAATTTCGTGCACCCGGTCACTAGTTTTTTCATAGAACTAGATGAATAGTTTCCTTGGTGTGCAAAAACTTTTTAACTTGATGTAGTCCCATTTGATTATTTTTTTCTTGACAAAGGAGACATATCCAACACATTATTACTAAGAGCAATGTTAAGAGTTTATTGCCTATGTTTTCTTCTATGGAGGACTATGGTTTTGAGTCTTAAATTTGTCTTCAATTCACTTTTTCATTCTTGTATATGGCAAGAAAATGATCCAGTGTCATATTTTTGTGTCTGTCGAATTTTTCCACCACCACTTAATGAAGAAACTGTCTTTATTCCATTCGATATCTTTGCCTTTGTCATAGATCCATTGACAATATCGGTGTGGGTTTTTTCCTGGGCTCTCTATTCTATTTCATTGATCTGTGTTTGTTTTTATGCCAGCACCATGCTGTTTTAAGTACTATAGCCTTGTATTAGTATAGTTTGCTATCAGGTAGTGTGATCCCTCCAACTTTGTTCTTTCTACATTGCTTTGACTATTTGAGGTCTTTTGTGGTTCCATATACATTCTAGGATTATTTGTTTTAGCTATTTGAATAATGTCATTGGTATTTTGATGGGGATTGCATTGAATCTGTATATTGCTTTGGGTAGTATGGATATTTTAACGATTCAAGAGCACGGTATATTCTTCCATTTACTTGTATCCCCTTCAATAGCTTTCTTCAGTCCTACAGTTTTCTGAGTACAATTCTTTCAACTCCTTGGTAAAATTTATTCCTAGGTATTTTATTCTTTAATGCAATCGTAAGTGGGATTGCTTTCTTAGTTTCTCTTTCTGATAGTCTGTTATCGGTGTATAAAAATGCAACCAATTTCTGAACATTAATTTTGTATTCTACTTTACTGAATTCATTTATTAGTTCTAATAGTTTTTTTTTTAAATTATTACTATTCCTCACCTGAGGATATTTTTCCCATTGGTATTTAGAAAGAGTGGAAGGGAAGAATGAAGAGAAAGAGAGTTCTAACAGTTTTTATGTTTGGATTCTTTAGAATTCTCTCTATATAGAATTATATAATCTGCAAATAATTGGTTTTTCTTCTCTTCCAATGTGAATGTATTTTCTTTTTCCTGTCTGTTTTTCTGTGGCTAGGACTTCCAATACCAAGTTGAATGTAAATAGTGAAAATGAACATCCTTATCTTGTTCCTGATAAGGAAAACACTTTAGCTTTTCACCATTAAGTATGATGTTAGCTGTGGGTTTTTCATATATGTCCTTTATTATGTTGAAGTATATTCCATCTATCCCCACTTTGCTGACAGGTTTTTATCATAAATCAATGCTGGATGTTGTCAAATGCTTTTTCTGTATCTAAGGATATGATTTTCATCCTTCATTTGTTTATGTTATGTATCATGTTAATAGTTTTGTGGATATTGAACCAACCTTGAATAAATCCTACTGGATAATGGTGTACTATCTTTTTAATGTATTGAGGAATTCAGTTTGCTAATATTTTGTTGAGTATTTTTACATCTACATTCATCAGGGATATTGGCCTGTACTTTTCTTTTTTTTGTAGTGTCTTTGTCTGATTTTGGTATCAAGTTAAGGCTGGCCTTGTGACATAAATCTGAAGTCTTCCCTCTTCAAATTTTTGTAGTAGTATGGGCAGAATAGGTGTTAAGTCTTCTTTGAATGTTTGGTAAAAGTCAAAGCCATCTGACCTAGCACTTTTGTTTGTTGGGAGTTTTTTAATAACGAAGTCAATTTTGTTAGCAGTTATTGGTCTGTTCAGAATGTCTCTTCCTGATTTATGTTTCTTCCTGGAAGTATGTATATTTCTGGGAATTTATCAATTTCTCTCATGTTGTCTAATTCAGCGGTCGCCAACCTTTTGGACTTCAAGGACCACCAGTTGGCAACCGCTGGTCTAACTTATAGGCATATAATTGTAGTATTTCCTTATAATGCTTTGTATACCATGGTGTTGGTTGTCATGTCTTTCATTTCTGATTCTATTTGGGCATTCCTTTTTTCTTCTTAACGAACCTGGCTAAAGTTTTACCAATTTTGTTTATATTTTCAAAGAACCAGGTTAGTTTCATTAATCTTTTCTATTTTTTTGCCTCTATTTTGTTTGTTCTGATTTTTATTATTTCGTTTCTTCTCACTTTGAGTGTTGTTTTTTTTCTAGTTCTGTAAGGTGTAAGGTTAAATAGTCTATTTGAGATTTTTGTTGTTTCTTGAGATAGGCCTATGTTACTAAATTTCCCTGTTGGAACTGCTTTCACTGTGTCCCACAGCTTTGGGGTCATTGTGTTTTCATTTTCATTTTTCTCAAGAACTGAAAACAGTTCTTCCTTGATCTCATTAACTCATTCATAGTTCAGTGACATGTTGTTTAGCCTCCACGTCATTGTGTTTTTCAGTTTTCTTCTTGTAATTGAGTTCTAGTTTCATACCATTGTGTTTGGAGAAGATGCTTGGTATGATTCCAATATTCTTAAACTGAGACTTGTTTTCTGGCCTAATGTGATTTATCTTGGGAAATGTTCCATGTGCACTTGAAAAGAATGTATATTCAGAGGCTTTTAGGTGAAACGTCCTAAAAATATCAATTAAGTCATTCTTATCTGTCATTAACACCGCTGTTCCCTTGATTTTCTGTCTGGATGACCTATCCATTGATGTCAAAGGGGTGGTAAAATCCCTTATTACTATAATACATCTATTTCTCCTTTATGTCTTTCAATATTTACTTTATATATTTAGGTGCTCCAACACTGGGTGTGTAATGTTAATGAGAGTTGGTCCTCTTTAGATTAACCCC